AAGCGCAATGTCACACTTGAATTCAAGTGTGCACAGTCGCAGTTACTCGAGATCGCACTTAAAAGTCATGGTTTGCGCAGCGTCGCACATAAATGCACACAGTCGCAGGGACACTGGATGCTCAAAACTGACATGCTCAAAATAAGTTCTCTCTGGCACAGTAAATCGGCATACTTCAGTTAAGTGCTTTTGGGCACAGTCAATCATAATGCTCTGTTCAGGTGCCTGCTGGCACAATCAACAATAATGTTCTGTTCAGATGCCTGCAGGCACAATCAATCATTTAATTCGAGCGCCTTCTTGACACAGTAAATCGACACACTCGGCTTTAGTACCTCTCGGCACAGCCAACAAACTTAATTAGAGTGCCTTCTTGGCACAATAAATCGGCACACTCAGTTTGAGTGCCCCTCGGCACAGCCAATCAACAGACTTAATTAGAGCGCCTTCTTGGCACAATAAATCGACACACTCAGTTTGAGTGCCTCTCGGCACAACCAATCAGCATGGGTGGTAGTTGTGAACTCATGGCGTTGACAATCTCCAGACACGGCGCGAGAGAGGGCGCGGCATTAATAGCCCTTAAGTACAGCGATCACGCAGTGTCATCAGCCCTCAAGTATGGTAAGCAAGGGTGCATAGTGTCTTCAGCCCTCATGTACAGGGAGTGTGAACGAAGAGTGTCAACAACACTTACTGTGAATGTTTCACCGGCGCTCACTCAACAGAAGACCGAATAACCAACAGAAAAGCAAGGGAAGAAAGAGGAAGGGAGTGAGCACAAGAGCAGAGTGAAGAAGGTAGGAGAGAAGATAGAGAGGAGAGCAGATGGACCTAGTGAGAGCCAGGCCGCCTTACTTTCCCTTTGCAGCCCCACCCCTTTACCTCCTTCCAGCCTGCCTAGTCTCGCTCTCCCAGCTACTCCAACGCAAGCAGCTTCAATCCCTCCTCCTTGCCGTCCCGCCAGCGTCTCTGCATTCTGCCAGTGAGCTCCTCTTGGTCCGTCTCGCCCTCCTGGGTGACGTGGCCTCTCTTTTATAATGAAGAGGCCAAGTGATTGGGGCTGAGTGCCGCAGTCCCATGGTCGGACCGTGGTCAAACTTTAGACCAGGCCTGAGTTAAAAATAGCAGCAGTCCCGACCTTGGAATATGATTGGTCAGTCCCCAGCAGACGAACAGTCAGTCCCATGCTAAAAATAGCGTGGGACTGTGCTAATTTTAGCACGGGATTGGCGCAGGCCCAGTCCCCAGTAGACGAACAGTCAGTCCCACGCTAAAAATAGCGTGTGACTGTGCTAATTTTAGCACGGGACTGGCGCAGGCCCAGTCCCCGGTAGACGAACAGTCAGTCCCACGCTAAAAATAGCGTGTGACTGTGCTAATTTTAGCACGGGACTGGCGCAGGCCCAGTCCCCGATAGACAAACAGTCAGTCCCACGCTAAAAATAGTGTGGGACTGTGCTAATTTTAGCACGGGACTGGCGCAGATCCAGTCCCTGGTAGACGAACAGTCAGTCCCACGCTAAAAAGAGCGTGGGACTGTGCTAATTTTAGCACGGGATTGGCGCAGGCCCAGTCCCCGGTAGACGAACAGTCAGTCCCACGCTAAAAATAGCGTGGGACTGNACTGTGCTAATTTTAGCACGGGATTGGCGCAGGCCCAGTCCCCGGTAGACGAACAGTCAGTCCCACGCTAAAAATAGCGTGGGACTGTGCTAATTATAGCACGGGGCTGGTGCAGGCCCGACTTCGGGAAACGAACAGTCAGTCCCGTGCCAAAAAAAAAGCACGTGACCCCATCTTAATTACTAGGGCCTGGCTGTTCATCTATACGACTGTTTAGGGTCGTTCCTTTTCTGGCCAGGTTACGCGGTCGTGTTGGTCCAGTCCCGGTCGGTCAAAGTTGATTATCTCACTAACCCTTAGTCCGTTTCGAGTGTCGTTTGGACCGGAACCCACTAATTGGCCCCTTGTGGTCGCGACGGTCCACTCCAACGGGGACGATCAGGTCTCTGGAGGACCGTACCGCCACGCCGTCTTTCCCTCGGTTTTGGCCCATGGGAAATCTAACCGATGCGTTAGGATCCAGTTTGACCATGACTGTGGACGTCCCTAGGTGCAGTTTTGACGCAGCGCGGAGGCTGACTGCGACGAGTCAACTTCTGCCGCTGCGGTACATCGTCTTCCGACAACGCGCCCCCTGAGTGAGAGTACAAGTATGCGTGTTGCTTGTGTTCTTTGACGTTGTGTAGCTGCAGCGTGAGCTCGAACTTGCGGAACCATGGAATCGGATTTGTCTTTGTCGAGTCGCAGAAGATCTCCTGCCCGTCAAACTTTGGAGCTGTCTCGCGCGGTTCCGAACTTGAGGTGTTGGCGGTAGCACAGATCCGCTGTTGCAACTGTTGCGTTGCGGTCTGTTGTAACTGCACGCCGTCCTTGAGGGAGCCGACGTCCATCTCCAATGCTTCGAGGCGATCGGAGGTATTGGAAGAGCTTGCATCGGGGGCGGCGACGGGTCGCTGCTCCAGCTGCTGGAGGCGGCCTTGTACTTGAGTTAGCGAGTCGTCGAGGCTGTGGATATCCTCCTGCTGTGTAATACAGGTTGCCAGGAGGTCTGTGAGATGGGAGAGGAGGAGAGCGATCTTGTTTTCGCTATCCCCCATCTTGCCATTCTCGGCATCGGTCCGCCATTCCGCTGCCATTGTGAGCAAAGTCTGCTCTCCACTAAATATCTTCTCACGACGTTGGTTTCTTTCTTCATCGGCCGCCCTTGCTGCTGCCTCGTCATGCTGGTGCTGTTGTTCAAGTGCCAACAGACGTGCCTGCTCGGCGTCCTCTGCCTTCTTCTTCGCTGTTGCTGTTGCGCCATCTGCCCGTTTCTTTGTTTCGGTACTCCAAGCCAGCATCCGGGCCTGATAGGCCTCGTCTGCTTCTCCGGACCTCTGGTCCATGACGGCTGTATGTGACCGCAACAGCATAGACCAGGCCGGGGGCCTGCTAACGTGGTATTTCCTGCTCTGTCGGCTGACGTGGCCTGCTGACGTGGCAACTCACCAATGTCGTAGCAGGGGGTACCCGGAGATGGATAGAGAAGGTAAGGTCAGAGGGGGCAACAACATAGGTGGGGAGGGTGGGTGGGGAGAATCGCCCAGATAAAGAGCCACTAATCAAAAAAGAAAAGTTTGAACTTTGCAAAAAAAAATTGAAATATTTTGCAAGTTCAGTAGGTCTCCCAACCTCCCTTGAAGTGCTTAATGATTAATGAGAGAAAAAAATTTCGACTTCAGACTGCAAATGGTTTATAGAACTGACTGACAGAATCCTAGAACTGTGAAAAAAATTCCGACAAGAAATGACAAATATTCAGGTTTACTCAGATGAGAGTATTCGCAGTTTGGAAAATAATACCTGCAGGAGGGATTTTCCGTACCGTTTTCAGAAAAACGAATTTCGAAAAAAAGATATTCCGAATTTTTAAGTAACGGAAAATGCAATAGGAAATCGAAATTTTCGAAAAGAAGGATATTCCGGATTTTCAACAACGAAATTTCCAAATTTCAGAAGGAAAACGAAATTGGAAATTTCAGATGTTGCGCTATTACGATTTTCCACAACAGAAATAGCGAGAAAACAAAATCCAAGGAAAGAAAAAAAAATTCGATTTTCGGCAGTAAGGTCAAAATCGTGATTTTGGGGTCTAACTAGTTTGCTCTAATCAATCAATAAACACTAATCAGCTACCTAGTCCCCGCACACGTGTCAGATCAGGTTGTCCTGATTCACATGCGGCGTTCCGACACCAACTGTTACATGCCCAGTGGGGCGATGTACATAGAAACCGAGGATCCGCAATGTGATGAAAAGGACTGAATGGACAATGCAGTGCAAGTAGAATCTCAACAAGCAATGTGCATTCTAATACATACGAAATGTTGTTGAATAGCGCAGGGAAGACTTAGATACAAATCCTGGCCTGACCGGGACTGACCTCATTCACATAGTATCAGATAGCGAAGCAGAATGCTAGAATGCTAATGACTAGCCCAATGTTTGAACGAAGACCAAACATACATCGTATCCATCACCAGGTGTGAAGGAGCCTGGCGCTGTACACAGGAAGAAAGCGCCAGGTCCAGACATACACAGACGAAGAGGAGGGGATCAGACGAAAGGAGGGAGAGAGATGGGAATGTCGTCAACACCGAGTCTTCGTCACAAATCCCAAATAATCCCTCGTCGTAATGTCTGAAGCCCAAAAGTCGAGTCTGGATCCAATGTCACCAAGCTCTCTCTCTCACTCTTCTCTCGTAGTCTGCAGATGCAGTGAAGTCAGATAAGGAGAGGGTGAGAGGGAGATGGTGGACTGAGAAGAGGAAGAAGAAGAACTCTCTCTCTATCACGAGCCAGATACTAACCTGTGATGTTCAGCTACCTCGAAGACGAAGCTGGAGCAATGGCGCTGCAGGTAAGTACCTCTGGCCTCCGCCCAATCTCTCTCTCTCTCTAGTGCTATCCTGGCTATGGCGCCCAGCGCTGGAGACTACAGCTACCTACTGCGCCCAGCGCTGAAGACTAAGGCCAACGCTACTACTACTCCTGCAGCGCTCCCTCCAGAGTGCTGCTGCCGAATCCTGAAGACTACTACTGCCTCCTGCCTGCCCGTGAAGTGCATGGGAAGTCCCTATGTACTACCTCGGCCTTCCTCCTGACTGCCTGAAGGGCGAGCCACGCTGAGGAGGCTGCTCTTGCCAATGCCAAAGTGTGCCAGGGGCTGGCGCTGCAGCATCTGCTGAGGCTGGCGTGGGAACAGGCTAAGAATAGCCTGTTCCCGAAACCCTGGTTCGGTGCCTGAGTTTCAGGGCCGGTCGTTCTGATGAACGACCGAAAATGGCCCTTCGTTTCAGGCTAAAAAGGCTATTGCCATTTTTAGTCTGAAACGACACAGGGACTGTAGGCCCCTGTTTTCAGGCTTTCGAGCTGAACAGTCACGGGGCCTGTAGGCCCTGGTTTTCAGGCTTTAAGCCTGAATTTCAGGCTTTCAGCCTGAGGGACGCAGGGCCTGGAAAATGGCCCTCGTGTGCAGGCGCAGCATGTAACAAGGGTGTGAGCTAAAGGATACCTCTTCTATGCACTTGCAGTAAGGGGGATAATTTCTACGTTGATTCTTATTCGTTCACTAATTATCATTGAAGTTCTCTATTAACCTAGAGGAGGAGGAGTTGATGAGGGACATGATGGTGGTGAGAGAATTCATTCTTATTCGTTCACTAATTATCATTGTAGTTTCTTCATTAATACAGAGGAGGATATAATTGGACGGACATGATGGTGGCGAGAGAAGTAGGAGATGACAATGTTTCAAGCTTTTCTTCTTAATCTTCTTCTGCTTTTCTTTGTTCTTCTTCCTTCCTTAACTCATTGTTCTTCTGTTTAAGTTGCGATGATGGCATTGCCTCACATTCGATTTTTGCAACATGAATGAGACAGGATCATAAGCAACAACAGAAAACAAATGGAACTTCCTCAAAAACTCAACACACTCTCAGAAACCGACTCATGGCGTGGCTTCGTGGAAAGGTTTACAAGTCCATCAAGGAATGACAGCTGAAAAGGTCCAAAATTTCATTTTCAACCGCCCAGATCAACATCGAACAACCAAAAACCAGGGAGAGGGAGGGAATTATGCACGCACTGCAGCGCCTGCGGCCGGTAAGCTTTGGGGTTATGGGGACAAAAAGATTGAAAGAAAAAGAGAAAAAGCTCACTTTCCAATGATGCACTACTGGAACCACATTTAACAATGCAGCAGCAGGTCTCTCTGGGCTATATGTTGCCAGACCAGCATTTGCTTTTGGATAAAGTTCTACCACTCACTGAGCATGATGGATCTAGACTAGTGTTAACCTGAGTGGCATTTGGATAAGCTTCGACCGCCCTCTGACGGTAATGGATCAGGCATTCCTTCACAATTGGCATCTATGATATGACAAGGGCTTTTGGCTAGCTTCCACTCCGTTGCAACTGTGCTAGACTGAAATGAACCCAGACTGCCCTTGGATCGATTCCCATAGGACACCATGGCCTGGCTGACCCTCAGAAATTCATTTCGATGGTCTGTGGCCTGAACAACAGCAACTCACATTCCCCCAAGTCCAGTTTGCCCACCAAGGTGCAAAATAGAAAAACAAGTGTAACCGATCATAGAAGCACAAGTTGGGAAAAAATGACGCTGTGAAACATAAGCAGTTGTCACTGATCAGCTGCATTTACCTGAAGAACTGCCACGGCAAATCGAGAAATCTCTGGCAAGTGTCCTCTTGGATATATCACTGGATCCCCACAGGGATTCCCGCCCTCAAATTTGCACCAGGGGGGAACCTGCAAACAGACAAACACAAGGATTCGGTTGAAGACAGAATTGGCCCAGCTCAGTTGGTACACCCATGAACTGTTGAACTGTTCAACTTTTCAACTGTTCAATTGTTGAAAGGCAGACCTGAGTTCAAATCCCAATGAAATCAGGGGTTTGATCGGAGACAGAAAGGGTATCTCTAGGACCTGAGTTCAAAGCTTTGCGCCGCACTGAGACAAGACACAAGACAGGAAAGCAGGGAGGCTAGAGGAGCCGGTGCTGGTGGGAATCCTGCAAGATTCCAGATTTTAAAGCCTGTCTTGTGTGAGCGCCAAGCAGGAAAAGATGCACACCTAGCAGGTAATCCTCCTGAACAAGGAGATAGCAATGCTGTTCAGAGGGTTCCTTTGGCCTTAACAAAAGGAAGTGTTATGTGTACCATGTCCGTAATTTCTAAGATTCGCCATCCCTCTTAAGAGAAAAGAAAAGAAAGACGGAATAGTCCTCGTACAATGATCTCAATTTACACCACGTTGTTAACCCGTGCAACCTCAGAATTCATCACACCGAAATCACACAAATGAAACACAAGACAGACACACCATCTGAGACAAGGTTGACTGGCACGGATTCGGCCGCATTAATGGGGGAGCTTCATTTGAACATCGATGGTCGGTAAAGTCCTCGCAAGTTAATGTGTAATATGAAGAGCTGTTGAAGTCACGGCAGCATCGAGCATGAATTGGCTGAGAGGGAGGTGAGAAGTGTAATACCGAGTTGGATTATATTGCATAGCAGAAGTAGATGGAAAAAACACTGTTTCAAAGAAGGGCCTGGCGAGCAAGGAAACGTAATACGCAGGGCGGAAGAAAGCGAGGATGAGTAACGCAGGGTGTGGACTGTCATGTTACCTCGTGTGTCATGGTGGTTACGAATGGTTTCTTCAGCAACATGCAATGACTTCCTGGTTCTGCTGCCTGCGACCCGTGGATCCGAGGCTGTATCATAGGTAGTGCAATCAGACTCACTCTCATTCACACTTCTCATGCATGCAAACAGGTGCGCAGCAAACTGGCGACAAGCGCCCACACAAAACTCAGAGATATGGCAACCAAACGCAGCTCACATACAAGTTCACTTCAGATGGCTATGGCGTCACAGCGCCCACACAACTCTCTGTTCGCATACACAGGATCACCCTGGATATCCCACACGCGATACTCTGTTCACACACACATCACACACTAAACTCTAACTACAGCTATGGCGGCTATGGCCGCTGCTACCCTATCGCTATGGCTACGCTCCTCTCTGCCCACTTCGTCTTCGGGCTCACTGCACACCACCTAGCACAAGTCGCTGTGGCAGCGCTTCCGCATGGCTCATGCAGGAATGAATGAATGGCTGGGCGCTGCCTCTTGATTTATACTTCTGCAGCTCGTTGGTCTGGCCCTTTCCCATGCCCGTAGTGCACACAGTCCCATGCGGTACTTGCTGGACTGAACTAGGACTGTCTAGGACTGGGACTGCTGACTCAGCACGGGTAGACTCCACCACTTGCCCACTTGCCTCAGTCTAAACGTGGGCTACTTCGAAAGGCCACTACTCGGACCTTCGAAAAGGCCGTAGACTTGGCCTTTCGAAACTGTAGCAGCTACGACCTTGACCTTTCTGGACTGTCGCAGCTACAACCTTGACCCTTCGGAGAAGCTACAGCTACGACTTCTAGACCTGACTAAGACTCCTACTCGACAGGTCTACAGATCGAACCCCTGCTACCTCTGCACCCTACGACAGGCTTCCACTGTTACAAATACACAGGTCACGGGTTCAACTCTAGGGGTCGACACAGATACTGTACACAGGTAAGGTGGGGACTAGGGATCGAGCCCTGGG